ACACAACCAAAGTACAGTACTGCAAGCACAATGTGGCGATCAGAACACTTAAGAATGAGTGCATATTTTTAAAATTAAGTGCCAAATAATTGATCATTCTTGCATGTATTTGTTTATCTGAGTAACCACTAGGAGGATAACAGTATGTAACGCAACAACCATTGTCAATTTCTTTTCACCTTGTCTGAAATTCTGTACTGTTTATATTCTTTTTATGTTGTTTTATGTCTGTTTGTTAATGTTTTGGTTCTTTTATCTCTAAAAATAAAATTTTAAAAAAATTAAGTGTCAAAAAATTAAAATATAGCAACATGTAACTTCCTCATCAGTGGAGAGAATGGAAGGTGAGCACATTATTTTGAACAACAGTAAAGAAGGGAAAAAGGAAAAAACAAAAAGCCTAAACTAAACAGAAGGCCCAAAAGAGGGCAGTAGAAGTCATCCCAACAAGATTGATTATGATAAACTTGACAGGTACAGACACTGTCAGAGGCTAAAACTATTTACAACAATAGTATATTACTACTCTTACATATACATGCATGCATACACACACAGACAAAACAGAAAGGTCGAGGCTGGGGATTTAGCTCAGCAACACAGCACCTGCCCGGCAAGTGCAAGGTCGTGAGTTCAATTCCCGGTACCAGAAAAAAGACAGAAAGGTCACATACAAAAGACAGAAGCTGTTATATTAGTAAAGTACTTAACCAGCTATATGCTTTGCAAAATACACTAAGGCAAAAACATTACCATAGGGACAAAGGTCACTATGAAGCCACTTAATGAGGAACATACCAATTCTAAACTTGTACACATACATGCCTAAACTCACATAAAGAAAAATTTTTTTCAGTGAAGTACTATTATGCTGATTACTTCTCTTCTAACATTTACTATCCTCCATCTGCACATCCTTTCTTTTATGCATACAGCCACACTGAAACTCCACCCTCAGCTTACCAAGTCAAAATTAGTTCCTTTATGTAAGAAGTTTAAGAAACCAAATCAGTTTCAAATTCAGATTTTAAAAAGGTGAACTCATCATAAATAAGCAAGATTAGACATTATACAGATCACACATTTCCTTACTAATTACTCATTTAGAGAGCAGGCAATGTAAACTTTTTAAAAATTGTGTTAAGTGATAATTACAGAGCAAAGCTACCTGGGTTTAACCCACTTAAGTTGTGTAGCTTAAAATGCAGCTTCGAGGCCAGGGAGGGGGGCTTCAGGGATAGGGTGCTGGCCTAGCACGTACAAAGCCCTGAGTTTATTCCCAGCCCTTCAAAAAATAAGTAAAATAAGAGTTACTTAATCTGTTTCCACATATCTAAAATGGGGTGTGGGACAGGGGGAGGGAGTTGTGAAGATTGAGGTAATTCACATGAAGATATATAAAAAAAGTCTTGACACATAATAAATGCTCAAAAAATATTATTTGCAATTTACTGGTTTAGAAAACAGCACAAAATTTTCCTTAATGACATTCCTCTAAAATATAATTTAAGAGTCAGGTGTGGTGACACATGCCTGAAATCCTAGCACTCTGGGGTATGAGGGAGGATGATCATTGTGAGTTCAAGGCCAGCCTGGACTACATAGTAAATTCAAGCCCAGCACAAACTACACAAGGAGTCCCTGCCTCAAAATAAATAAAATACATACATATACACATACATACATGCTGAGAAAATATTTTAAACTGCAACATTTGATAATATTGGTTAATAAATTAAAGATTTAAAATGTAAATATTTCCTGTATTAGAATTCTCAGTGTATGTGCCACTCAACTATAGAACACTATAAAATCTATAAAGATTACCTAGTTTCACATGGAGAAGATAAATTCATGAGATAGATACCTGTATTTTATAAATTTGGAAATAATCCAAGGAATGTAAAGCTCCTCTAAATCTCACGCATAGCTACCAATGTTTTAAAAATCAAATTTTAGCAAAATTAACGGAACTATGCAACACTTTATTTTGAAGTCCCTTAAGACACTATACTGTCCCCAAATCTTTGCTGAAAAGAATCAATGAAGTCAATCTGTGTTTATGTTAAAGCTGTGTCCTCAATAAAAGAACAAAACTTTTAAAAACAGATTTTACTGTGTTTCAAAGAAATCATATAGTAATCATGCAAGTGATCTATCAATCCCACTGCAAGGAATGTACCCTAAAGATACACCTCCCATGATAGAAAATGAGAGACATAGTTAGTCACAGCATCATTAGATATAACTGCAAAATACAAAAACACCATGGATGCCCATAATTAGGGTAGCTCAGTAAACAACATTCCATCTAAACAATGGAGTACCACACCTCTGGAATAAAGAATAATGAAGATTCCTATAAACTGATATAGAAAGTACAAGAGCATGCTACTGGGGGAAAAAAGTGCAATGGTGAATGTCATCCTTCATGTGAGAAAGGCATATACAGAACACACATGTATCTGCAATTTCTGCAAAAGAAATAAAAACACTGCAAGTGTACAAAAAAGATTTGAGAATTTGTGAGTTTACGAAGCCAACCCAAAAGAGTTCCTAATGGTCAAAGGTAGAATGATCTGAGCAATCCAACAATGACAGTATTTGATTTTAATTCACAGAAAAAAATTAAACAACCAGGAATCCACACTGATATAAATAATCAAATGAAGTAATAGATGGGTGGTGGGTGGATAGAGGCACAGCTTATTATAAAAGAAGTCCAAGAAATAAATGTTGACAGGCAAATCAGAAAAATCACCATTAGACAAACACTACAGTGTTAATTAGTACTGACAAGATTAACTACTAGTGCAAAAAAATCGTGGCCATAAATTTGAGGAGAAAGACTTGTACAGCCTCAAAGGATCTCTGCCAAAATATTAACCCCAAAGGGAAAGATGTCAACAGTAAGGTAAATATGCCTGGAGATATCACCTTGACTAAGTAAGTGGCCAAGGTTAGTATACTGAAATAAAGACTTGAAATTATATAGTACAAGGTACCTCTGATATGAACCTTAGACACGATATACTTTATGGTATTTGGGTCAAAAAGGCCAAACCTTCTTCTATGCATACATCAAACAAAACTGAAAACAAAACACCCAAACAGTACTCTTCAAAATGTCAAAAGTTGGAGAAAAAACCTGAAGAACTATGAGAGACTGAAAGAGATTAAGAAGCAGTAAATAATGTAAGAAGGGGTCCTATATAGGTTTCTGGAACAGACAACGAACACTAGTGAAACAGCTGGTGAAATTCAACTAAGTGCTACAGTTTTAGTTAGTTGGTTTTGGTAATTGCATGGGTTACAGTATTAGGGAGAGCTGGAGTTTGAGGGGATGGTGACATGTGGAAAACCTGTATGGTTTTGTGCAATTTTTGGTGGTGGTGGTGGTGGTGGTTTGAGTCAGTGTTTTATTATGCACCAGTAGTTCAGGCTAGCCTTGAACTCACTATGTAGCCCAGGCTGCCCTCAAACTTGCGGCAATCCTCTTGTCTCAGGTTCCCAAGTGGTGGGTGTGCCACCATGCCAGGCTTGTGCAATTTTTTGGCAAGGACTAAAACTAGTTCAAAATAAAACGTTAAAAATAATGTCATTTCTAATGTTCTGTTCTACAGTGGCTTAAAACAGCATTTAAGGCCACCTTCCTTTTGTCCCGATGAAACTTGAAAAGTCCAGTATAATTTCAAGTTAAAATTTAAAACTTTGTTGTTAAGACTGAAGCTATGAAATGGAACAACAATACTTCTTTTGGTCTTCAAATATGTTATCAAACACATTTTCTTTGCTTCCACTCCCATCTTATTTTTCTTCTTCCTTTCTGGTGGTACTGGAGAGTAAACCCAGGCCCCCTTCACATTGAGCTACATCCCTAGCCCTTTTTATTTTGAAACCAAGTCTCACTAAGTTGCAAAGCTGCCTGGGCTGGGCTCAGTGATCCTCCTGCTTCGGCCTCCCACAGTGCTAGGATTACAGGCATGCATCATCACCCAGCATTCCACTACCATCCTTTTTTCTAAGTGATTACCTAATTTGAAGGAAGTAAAATAGACTACATTAACAGCAAGCTCAAAATGAAGTTCACTGGAAACTTAATGACAGTACTCTTGAAACTGCACATCTCTAAAGAACACCACAATAGTCCTATAATAAAGTTTGTTTCAGGGGGAAAATTCAGCACAGAAAAGCTCAGTGGAACAGCAGCTGAGAAAGAGAGCTCCTTTGTGTATATATTATTTATACTCTTGGTTTGGATTGGGAGTGGGGTGAACTAAAACAAAACAGTTTTTAACTACAAAATGTATTCATAGTTGACCAGAACTGACTAAAGAACAAATCGTCCACATTTTTAGGTGATCTTTCAAAATCAGTCCTGTGTCCTAAAATATCCATTAACTAGTGAGGACTCAAGCTCACCCCCTTATCATTAAAATACATATTCATAAAACTTTTACAGTTGTGCTGTTCTACTTACAAATAGCTTCTACTTTTCTAGGACATAATTTCACTTTGTTTAAGCAAGAATTCATTAAAGAAGCTATAAATAACCTTTAAATATTTAGCTATGAATAGAGGGTGGACTGGCATTGATGGCTTATTTTAGTACTAATGCAGAACGCTTTTTAAAAGCTACATTTTAGCATGCATCAAGCTAATGATTAATACTTGCAGTGTAATTTTCAATGTTAGGACTAAATTTCTCATTTTAAGGAGTCTTACCACAAAAGTAAATGTTATTTCAGTTATTTACTAGTTAAGTATACTTAAAGAATGGAAATGCTGGGAAAATTAAAACACTAAGCAATTTTTATTTTAAAATCTACTTTTTTAGCATCTTAACAAATTTTCCTTCTGTCCCTGTAAAAACTGTACACACAAGGAGGAGACGTGCCTATGGAATTTAAGAATTTAACAATCTGTTGTGTGGTATATGTAGCACATGTATGATTCAAAGACATTTCCATGCTCAATTCTAAATCATAAAATCCACAACATTTTAGAGGCCAAGTTTCACAAAATTTTTACTTGAAAAAATGTTTTTACAAAATACTCTTCCAATCAAAGAGACTTTCCCGTAGGGTACATGTAGCTTTCTGCCTTAAAGATTACAGTATTTCATCCAAAGGGGAGAGGTTTTTTTAAGTAGCCACCTAGCTGCAAAACCTATAAGGGAAGTAGACTTTTTTTAAAGTGCCTTTAAAATGCAAAAGCAAGTAATATAATGGCTGAATCGATTGAAATTTTAAAAGTTTCTTTAAAATGGTCCATATGGTATGCACAACATCACAGCTGGTACAAAACTGCTTGTATTTAGTTTGAAACACAAAAACAACGCATATGAACAGTATTCTTTGAAAAATAATTTGAAATGCTACCACTGCATCATAAGACCAACTTAGACAGTATTGAGAAAATTAACAAACAAGTTGAATATTAAAGTATTCAAACATTTACTTTGAATTTGTTTAGTACAACTCACTGGTAAGGATAAAAAAAGTTGCCAAACTAACTCGGGATGCCTTATTTCAAACTACATGTAACATATTTTGCTGTGTATATTCTAAAAATGTACAAGTCGGCTTTAGGACATAAACTCCCATTTCCTAGCTTTTCTGCTGCAATCTGGCAGCTTTGAACTTTGAAACCCTTTTTGCAGTTTCCTCTGATGCTTCTGACAAAATTTCTTTTCTTTCCGGAATGGTGGGTAGTACAGGGTGAGCAATGGCTAGGTGTGGTGTTAAGGAGGACGATAAAAATTCTTTTTCTATTACAGTTCCAGAAAAAGCCTAGAAGACAAAAAATAGGTTTATGGTAATAAAATATAAGATGCCCATAAAAGCTTTATCTTCTATTTACCAATTAGATATTTCTTTTCACTAAAAATAAAACTCACAAGATTTTTAATATGTAATACATGACCATCAAACTATTAATTGTTCACAGAAATCAAGCACCATACATTTTTTTTAATTATACCACCAAATACAAGCAATGTTTATAGTAGTCAAGGGAGAAAGTATTATAAAGTACAAAATGCATATCATATCTGGGAAAAACAAAAATAATAAATAAAAGCCCCAAATTCGTACACATTCCATTATGCCCAACTCTTACTGTGAAAATAATATATTAAAATTTTAAAAAGCTTTGATGTATCAGCGAATGAAGAGCTATCACATGACGGTCATGCTGCCTCCTAGTAAACAGCTTAGTTTCACCAATACTGACATTTCTTTAATGATGTTAATTTATGTAACTGAGTATTTTATTGCATCTACCTTAATTTTATTTAAGTAATCAATGAACATTAAAAAATGAGAGTGCTGGGACTGGTAGGAATAAACATAGGTTTCTAAATTTTAATACAAATAATTCAATGATGGAAATCACAAGATCCACAAAAAATGACTTTAATTTCAACATAGTGTTTACTGAAGGTAATCTGGTCAGCTATACGTTCAAATGGAACAAAACTAATATGTATAAATTATGTACAAACAGCCAGAAATCTTTATGTATCTTTTTATATAAAAACCAAAGAATTAGTATTTTTAAAGATTTTGGGTATACGGAACCTCTCCTCTTACATCCTCTAAGAACTTATGTACAAGCTAAAAATGACATAAACTATCATATATTTACTTCCTTTTATCTACCAAATGTTCAGAGCTAATTAAGTCAATTTATCACTTAAATAGTTTAAAAAGCCAACATCTTCACCTCATCCTACCAATGAAACAAAAACAAAAAATGCTATCTTCCTCCCTCCCTCCCTCAAGATTCTGAACTCCAGTTCTTAAAGCTCCAAGTTTACTTTTCTAAAAATTCCATTTAATCATGCTGAGAACAGAGCCTTCACATTATCTTAAGAACATTTTCAAAAGACACAGTGTTTCAGCATTTTTTTAAAAACTCTGAAAATGATGTCTTTCAAAGTACTTTCCATAATCATGAACTATTTATTTTGAAGTAAAAAATTATATCATCTATTATAGCAATTCAATATACAATGCAAAGCTAATAAGGGGGAAAATTAAGTTCCACATTCTAGCTACACTATGACATGTTACATCCCTACAAAAACTCTATTTTCAAATACCTGTTGGCAAAAGTCTACTTCTATTCCATGTTTTCTAATAATAAGGCAGAGTATTAAATAAAGTAAGACTTAACCGGTCACCTAAGATCATTATCCTGGGATTGGGACCATTTTAGTCTTAGGCAGGGTGCCTAAGTGCTAATAATGCCTATCCCCAATCAGCATTTAGTGCATTTAGTACAATCAGTATCCTCTGATACAAGGGATGACGATCTTATCAATTTATATATAGATACATATATGAATGTATACACTGGTTTGATACACATATAAATTTTCCAGTCTTCCTAAATACTTTTTTTTCTAAACTTTTTAAATTGAAAACTTCTAATATCCACCAAAACACAAGAATAAAAATAACAAGTGGAAACCACAGTCATGCATTTCATAGACAGGAATTCTTATTTTGGATCTTTCAACCTCTCCTCCGCCTCCACAAAACTGTATGCAATGTGGTCTATAAAAGCCTATGAGTACATGCTAATTTTTCTAAGGAGAGTGCCTACAGCTTTCGTCAGATCAGAAAATGATTTCATAACCTCAAAAGTTTCACTAAAACAGGCCAAAACATAGAAGGACTATGGATAATTATCTACCATGTAGAAGGGGTGATCAAAACATACACTGTTTACATTTTTAAAAGTTTATTACAGAAAAAGACATATTACCATGAATCTCCCTACCTTTGACCACACTTATCCCATGGTTTTTATAGTTTCTGAAGCCGATATAAAGTCCTTTCTCATCAGTTTTTACAAGGGATAATCAAAAATACAGCGAATGTTGCTATGAAATGCCATCAAACAGAAGGCAGGCTAGTAGAAATGTTACGGTGTGTTCTTATCCACCTTTTTCCCTGGATCTGGCACTGTGGGACTTTTTACTTCCCCAAAGTAAAAATGACCACAAAATGTACACATTTTGAGTCCATTCAGGGTATCAAGGCAGCAAATACTAAAGACACTCAAAAAAGAGGACTTCCAAAACTGCTTCACAAAGTGGCAAGAATGAGAGATGAGTGTGCTCAAAACCAGGGGGATTAACGCCAAAGTGTTCCATAACGTAGATTTTAACATTCATTGTACTTTTTGACCACATTCCCCTGCCACACATACACAGATTCCTTTAACTCTACCAAGACATTTAAAAGAGAACAGTATCATCTACTAAACTACAATATCAAAAAATGACTATAGTCTGGCCCAGTGGTAATTTATTTACTACAAGCTACTGAAGGATTTTCTTCACATCAATTAAAGATATTTTCAAATTCCTATTTCACAGAAATAAAACTTCAGACTAGTGATACTGTATTGCTAGTGCCATAACTTTTTTTTTAAACTAATTATTATCAAAAAAGTACAAACCAAGACACACATGAGGCTGCATGCCTGTAATCCCAGACTCTGGAGGCTGAGGCAGGAGGACTGCTGCTGAGTTTGAGGCCAGCCTGGGGTACACACTGAGTTCAAGGCCAGCCTGAACTACATAACCAGACCTTGTCTTAAAAAAAAGTACAAACCTAGGATTAATTAGATTCTGAGACATTACAGGTTAAATAGCAAAACCTAGCCAAAGATATTAAAGAGTTAAGATCTTATATACACCTCAGGTGCTCCCGATGAAGGCAAAGGTTTCCTTTGATCATTTTCCTGTGGTTCTTCTTCCAAAATGCTCTCACTGGTGTCACTGCAAGTGGCTTCTTCACAGCTAATACTCCTCAAAACTCCCCGCCTTTCATCAAATTCAGCAGCACTGCTCTCACTGGTATCACTACAAACACTGTTCTCTCTGCTTCGAGACTTGAGAATTGATTTCCGAGGTATATATTCTCCATTCACAACATCAACAAAAACTCTGTAATATTCAAAAGTATATGCTCACTTAAAAAGTAACTCATAAACTGAGAATAACTTTATATTTTTAAAAATCTTTTCTAGAAATTGATCTGAAACTGTTAAAATTTTGTATGTAAAATTTTCATTCACAGTACTTGTGCAGCCTCAAAGGATGTATTTTATATTTTGAAAGATATAAATTTTTTGCCTAATAAAATATAGTATGTTACTTATATGAATGCTCTTGGTTGTAATAAATCGATCTGAAAAATTCTACACATAGTTTTTATATCCACTTACGACATTTAGCAATTTTCACTGTTTTACAAATACTGGTTATGATATATAGTAAATATTTTCAAGTGATAATTTTCTTAACAAATACCACAACAAAAACTGAAACAGTATAATTTTTACTCTGAAGAAGCAAATTAATATGCCAAGTATAATTTAGCTATAATAGTAAAGCACTGCCCTAGCCCAGAGAAATGTAAACTTTGATTTCGAAAGATGTACATTGTTTTCACTAGATCAAACGGGAACTGTCTCAAAGCGCTGGTGAAGATGGGGAAAAGAAAGAACTATAATATCCTAACTGCTTTGGGTAGCTGTGGGAGCATAGTCCTTCCAATACTACATTAATTCCATTAGAGCACCTTTCTTTTTTCAGGGAGAACCTTCTGGGTTACAGATAACTCTTCAGGTAAAAAGAGGAAAAGATCAGCAGACTATCATGTAGTCGGTGCTATCATTCACCTGTAAATGTCAGCTGGAGTTCTGATTGTAGGCAACTCATGGGCAGAATGACCACTGCCAGAGCTGTTCTTTCGTTTACGTTTGGCCTCTTCTTTCTTTTCACTGAATTTTAAAGTTGTATTTTTTCCAGTATTTATTCGAACCTAAAAATTTCACAGGAAACATAGTAAAAACTGAGAAATTTAACCAAAGCCCAAACTAAAACAAATTCTATAATTGAAAATAGTAAGAGACATAGCTGAAGTTTTCTGGTGGACACTGACATGCATTGTGAGATTGGGCAAAGAAGTCCTCACCTTATCGTATTTCTACAACATGAAATGAACTCTTCTTTAATCACCAATTCTAGCCTTCAATGTCTTTATTATTGTATAGAAAGCAAAGTATATTTAAACTGAATGCTAGATTTATTATAAGCTTCCTCACTCCATTACTTTGATATAAATTTTTAGTTTAAACCATGCCTTGCAAAACAAAGAGCATAATTAACCAAAAGAAATATTGAATAAGACTATTTCATGTAAGTCATAAAAGCAGTATTAAATAATATGTAACTATTTCAAATTTTTTAAACACTTCTAATTTTAGAAACGAAGGACTAAAAAACAATCCTGTATAGGATTACTGCTACTCTTCCATTCCCACTTAGAGTTTATACCACTTTCTGTAGTAATGAGTGTTCTTCCCTACAACATTCCTGCAAGTATTATTTATTCTTGTTTTATCTAAATGAAAATAAAAAATTAAAAGCCTAGAAAAATAATCACAATACAATTTTTTGTTTTGTTTGAGACAGTCTTAATCCATTTATGCTGAAGATTGAAACTGTTTTAATTTTTGCATGAAATTCATATATATATTACCTACAAAAATTCAAGGGACAAGAATTTGAAGAGCAAACAGTTCATTATGCTCCACTGTTGTGCATGTACCAAAAATGGATCACTAGGCAGTGAAAGGTTAACTATGTATCCAGGCCAGCCTCAAACCTGTGATCCTCCTGCCTTAGCCTCCCAAGTGCTAGGATTAGGGGCATGCACTACCATGCCCAGCTTAATAGAAAAAATATTTTGTAGTGCTAATTTTATAGCACCAAGTGAACTTTTTCCAAAGAATTCCAAAGATCCCTTTAATTCAATATATTAAAAAATGTTTTAAATATGTAATTATTTCACTTCACAGTAGAGCAGGAATAACTTAAGGAATCTAAGAAATATCCAATATTTAACATGTTTCATTAAATAATCATCACAGGCACTTAAGACTCATAGCATGGACCTTATCACTGATACAGACCATCAGGGCACCTACTGTGTATGAAAAGAACATGAAATTGACTCAGAAGACTCCTTGTTTTATTACTAAACACTTCTGTGCCAAGTTTCCCTGAGAAAGGTGAATTCCTGGTGACACTTTAGAGTACCACATGGAGCACAGAGAGGACAAGGTAGTCTTAAGGTAGCCTATCTTTTCTTCAACCAGAGACAGCTTGCTGAAGAAATACTGATTAAAAAGTTTGAACACCCTGGACAAGAAGATCTCTACAGTCACCCCCAGCTCTAAATTGCCAAAATTCTAAACCCAGATTACACAGATGTTTATATTTACTTTGTAAGAAAAGAAACTGATTTTTAGTTTCTCCTTTTTCCTTTTTGTTCATGATGCTATATATTTGATACTCATGTAGAAAATAACCTGACACAATTGAAAATTTAACCAATGCAATCACTTTCAACATTCTAAGCACACCAAAAGGTACCTAATAAAATTAACTGAGATTCTGGAGAAAAACCTCTGGAATAAGCACAGGTAGCACTACAGTAGTTGCAATGTAAATCTGACCCGCTTCCAGACCTTAGCAACTCAAATTCTATTGTAGCTTGTCACGACAATGGACTAATACCAGATAACTGATTAGGTATTTTTCTTCCTTTTTCTTTTAAGACAACTCATTAGAATAAGAGGCAAAGGATGATTTTCAAACTATTTGGTGGTATCAATGATTTTAATCACTGTTAACATTTTTCTCTTAAAAGTAACATAAATGATGTTTAATGTTCAAATTATACCCAAAATTAGTAAAGTGAAAAGTATACAAACCCTCTTAGGTTCAACAGTGTGAGAAAAGTATATTGTTGGTACAGAATTATCTCCAATCCCTGAAGCATCATGGTCGTTTTCATTATCACTACTACCACCACCATCATCATCACCATCTTCTTCTTCTTCTTCATCGTCATCTTCATTACTGTGATAAGAATCTGATCCATTCACTGAACAGTTCAATTTACTATTCACCTGACCACTGAATAGTTTTGAACTTATAGCACTCTTAGGACAACTGCTGGGAGCAAGGGAGTCTGTAACTTGATGCATCACATTCACATTTGTGTTTTGATCTTCCTTCTCCTCTTCAGAAGAGGTTGTATCTTCTCCGTTTGTAATCACAGTATCAGGTTTACTAGTACAGAAAAAGAGAATAATAACAACATGAAATAAACACATTACAACCTTACACATTCTAATTTCTAATTCACTTCAAAAGGTAAGAATTAAAATTTTTGTGTGAAGTATTAATTTTTTGTTAGTATATTTGCAGTATATCATGACTACATTCAACATGGAGAATGGGTACATGTACTTAATCTTAAAAATGAAAATTTTTTAAAACAAGAATTGTAGATAACAAAAGACAAAATGTTTTGATGTAAATTAACGAAAAGCATTAGTTAATATGCCACTTCTGTATACTGCAGTTATTCAAACTTAAGTAGAATATATGCAATAAATTATCTCTGGATATTGACTGGACACAATATAAATACTGTATTTCTGGTAGAATAAGAGCTTGTAAGAAATTTGAGTAATATGTATTCCTATTTAAAGACCGGAAATTAATGCCACAAAAATACATTTTTTATTTTCTATTTCAACCTCTGAATATTTTACAACAAGCGTGTATTGTAATTTTTAAAACTAAAGAATTTATACATATGCACATATTTATATATATGAATGTATATCTATCACGCTTCATTCTATAAAAAATTTGAGGGCCTTACAGGAATAACAAAACCAAAGATGCAATAGAACTGAAATAACAACATGCAAAAATAGAAAATCATGACTAAGAAAATCACAAGATCCAACACTGGTTTTAAAAAGCAAAACAGTGCCAGTTAATCAAAAAGACCTAAATTTATAGGTGAAATGGTAGGGGGAAAAATCTTTTGTGCTTCTTGTCCTATTTTTCACAGAAACTAATTACTGCATATGGTACATCATTTAAGCAAAATAATATAGCAACTTCCATAGTAGCAGACTTCATTTAGCACTTTGACAATTCTAAGTGAGTGCTAATGTGTATTTCAAATAGCAGTTTGGTAAAGTTTCTCACACATAAAACAACTTGACCAGATTACAAACTGACTGCTCAATAATCAGAAAAGTTTGCAAATGGAAAGCAAGGACAAACATTTTACAGTATCAAATTTAAATTGAAAGCAAATTTTTTCTTTTTAACAAGTCACTCAGAGCATTTAGCTGAGTACATTAGAATACTTCACTTAAAATTTAATATTAATGTATCCATAATTATTAAAAGTCAACTATGTGGTGTGATTACTTCCTAATATAAAATGTAACAAAGTTTATAATAAAAAATAAAAATGTTGATTTAAAGTCTGTGTATACACAATGCACTGAGATGTATGCAAGCACTCAGTCCTCAAAGAAAATACTAGAAATTAGTATTTATGTTGGGGTGGATGGATAATGGATAATTTAATGTACTATGCTTCTCAGTATTTTCTTCAATGAGCACACATTATTTTATTAATGAGGAAATATGTACAGAAACAAATTTTCTTGGAAAGAGAATCTGTCATTAGATACCTGTCAAGTTCACCCAGTAATTCTTCTTGTCTTTCTAGTTCTTCAAGTCGAGCCCACAGTTCCTTATCAACAAGAAAATCCTTGGATTTTACATTATTAGCAAAATCTGCTTCAAAAATATCTGAAGTTTTTGGTTTAGAATGAGGTTTATGAGCAATTCGTTGTTTTCCTATTAAAAAAAAAAAAAAGACATGGTATGACTGTTACCAGTCAATACTAAAAAGGCATAAACCCAGGCTTAAGTGAGATTTTCTTTTAGGGTAAGTGGGATGTTGAAACAGAAGTGGATGTAATTTTTAAGGCAAAAGGAGAACTCCAAGGATGTGTGTCTGTTAGAGACTTGCTACTGAAAATACGCTCTATGGACTAGCAGTACTAGCATCCCCAGGGAACAGCTGAGACGTACAGGCTGTGAAGGACTCCCAAGCCTGCTGAATCAGAATCTGTATTTCAACAAGAGCCTGGAGAATTCACACATACATTCAAGATTGTAAACAACTGCTCTAGACTTTCAAAACAGCACAAGCAGAAATGGTCATGATGCATTCTGGTTATAACGCAAAATTCCACAAAACTAACATCCATTTACCACCCTAACACAACAAAACTTAGTGACTAAAGTAACGTGCAAATGCCTCATTACACAATACTCTAAAATTTAAGACACAACAAACAATGAATATCCCAGGAGGAAATGACATAAGCTAATCTCTGCAATTTTGTTCCAATTTTATATATGAATAATCTCTGCTTCTAAAATTACTTTATTTGTAATTCTCATGTGATGGCAGAAGATGGATCAAATTTGAATTCAAACCTATTGGCTTTTTTATCTAGAAGAATAGATTTTCTTAATAAAGCAAATTAAAGTTTTGAAGAAAGTAATGGGATGAAATTTAAAACATTGTCTGTCATGAAATATGGTACTACCAGATGATTTCAAGTCCATCATATATTCAAATTCACAGCGCTGCTTTCTAAATTTGAAAATATCAAAATTGTATCATATGCTCATTCTGTGTATTATTGATAAAACAGTAATAACAATTTTTACATGTTTCAATCTTTGAAGACATATAATTTAACCCGGTCAATCCTAAATAAAAATTTAACTTGTCTTTCTGTGCTTTAATATATATTTCCTTTATTTTACTTTCTAAAGCCACTGAAACTTGCTGTTACTTGTGATGCCACATCAACATGGATATTATGAAAAACAAAATGGATATTATGGCTAGAATATGGCTTCTAAAGGTATCTTTACCATACAAGCAGCAAGTTCTATTTAGAACTAATTATCAAACTATGAACTTCAAAAATCAAAACAAATAGTAAAAAATTTTTTAAAATAGCAACTTATAAGTCATTTCTTTAATATTGTTAAAATTTCACTACTTTAACACTTCC